ACGGATGGTCTACCGGAATAGTTTGTTTGCCGTGTGGAAATTCGACTACATTCGCAATTAAGCGGATTAAATTTCGGTGTTCGTTTGAATCTTGGCACTGATTCAAACAGCGCGAAGCAACAGAACCAGTGCGCGAGATTCAATGCTCATCTTCTAGCACACCATGGTCTGTCATTGTCTTAGTAAAATTATACATGATGTGACACTTTCAGTACGCAACAACACTGTGTAAACTGAATATGTACATTTCAGACGCAATTTTATTTGAATAAACTGAAGTAGCTCTTATTGCAGTTTATTTTCAAAATAGTTGTATGCATAAAAGTTGACGAACTTATGCCCTGAACACAATTGCGGGATCAGCATGTTTGTTAGGGTATGTATCAAGCTAGATCTAGTGCACCTACACTGACTCTTTGCATCAAATTTGATTATCATGATCTTCGATGATTACCGAAAGACTACAACTCTTCATATTTCATGGATATTTTTTAAAAAAACCGACGACGATAGTTTCTTTTTGTTCAGTTCTCATACAACGCTAGCAACATAAACGTGTACAACATGAGATTGCTTTACTCCTTTTGTCGGTATTTATTCGATTCCAGGTTCTTCGGCTTCTTCCCGGATAGGAGCCGTCAGTTCGAGCGTCTGGTGTTTGTCGTTCCAGTGAGCTGACAGAAACCACAGGTCAACATTCACAGGCAGGTTAAAAACTGACCGAAACGAACTGGACGATGAGTTGTTCTGTAGCTCCTTGGCTGTGACCACGATTCTATAAAGACGCTTAACACTGAGCTGAAAGTCTACTGATCGAAATGCATTTAAAATGAAAATCTTCAGAGAATAAGAAAAATGATTACTATTCAAAACTTGTTCTCTCTACCTCTATTTAACAAAGCTTGTCGCTAGAATTAATGCCAAAATTATATAAATAGAAGTTAAGTCATCTTAACTCATCAACATTTTCATGCCGTTATTTACGATATAACGTCAGACTGTTTCGATGTTTTCTCTTTTTCGTCTCCTGCACCATACCTGATTTCATCACATTGCCAAACTGTTTGGACACCGGTTTTTTGTACTCTTTTCTTGTTTAAAGAATTAATTTTAAATTTTCTTTAAATTAAAAATACCATATGGAAGCCAGTACATCGTTCTGTACTTGTCTTTTAACCAATCTTGTGTACATGGGTTCTGCCACGACGGTCCAGCCATAGATTCACATTGTTTCAAGACCCCCTTTAAACACTTTACGTGTCCAGTACCCTCTCATACAGTGCTCTTTGGTAATGAAACAGTTCAGTTCACCAGTATTTCATAATCGGTGCCTAATTTTTCATGCGTGCAGTCTCCCCTTCCGCGGTTTCCTCATTCTATGATTTTAATAAAGAGAAGACAAAGCCAAGTATTGCTCTCCTGTCTTACTGCCTACCAAATTTATGCGGCGATTGCTCTGACTCGTAGACACTTCATTTCAATCCCACATTCAATACGTATGCCTTATATTTTGTTCAACAGCATACCTCATCCCATTATGCCATAAGAAAAGGGGTTTTATTTTTCATCGGCCATGATACCTGAAAAGTTTCCGAATAGACTTATTAATATCTACTCTAGAAACAACACAGTTCCCTGTTGGTCATCAAGTATATGTCATTTCATCGGTCCGTTATGATAACCTGTTATATTACTTTTTGTCTTTGAGTTCCCGCTAATGGCTGAAACCATCTAACTTCCATTTCACTTTCATAGCTGCAAAACAGATTTTGTGATTTTGATTAATACTTAAATTTTCTATAAAGAGTCTGGTTACCTGGCACAGATCTCTTCAAATGCAATGTCTCAAATACAGCAGAACAAGGGAACTGTTTCAGTGACGACAGCATTTGGAAGCCAATCGAAAATTTGACCTCAGCAGAGCATCAAACTCGGTCCTCTAAAATTCTCCTGTACGACCTACAAACAACGGCTAAACTGAAAGTCAAGGAGTGCCAGTATATGCTTTCTGGCAATGGTATCTGCACTGCCTTTTAAGAATACGCTGGTATCGTTGAGTAATGAACCGGAATATGTGGTTTGCCATGAAGATAGTAGACATCACATCTGCGTTGCACGAGCGACAGCATACCTTCGCTAGCACATCGGATACTTTGTATGTACTCAGTCTCAGACACCGTTGGAAGCTGTCCAACATCGAATACGGAAAGGCAATTCTTAGATGTGTAACGATCAAGTAATATTTATTTGCGGAAGTTGTTGAGTGCCTAAAATCGATCTAACCCATTTGCTGTCTTGCGAACATATTGAATTGAAGCACTG